GATCACCTCCAGCGAGACCACCGCGTCGAATGCTGCTTCTCCGCCACCACCTGCTCGGCCGTGCACTGCCTGTACACCAGATTGCCAGCCAGCCCTGGATCCTGCTGTGCGTGGATCCGCGCCACTGCAATGTTCTCCTGCGCCGCATCCACGCCGGTGACGTGGGCGCCCAGACGTGCCAAGGCCTCGGACGCCAGCCCGCCGCCGCAGCCCACGTCGATAATCGTCCGGCCCGTGAGCCGCGCCAGCTCCGGGTGCAGGTCGCGCAGCCGCGACCGAATGTACTGCGTGCGCGTCCGGTTCATCGTGTGCAGGTACTTGAATGCCCCCTGCGTGTCCCACCACTCGTTGCTGACCGATGTGAACTTTTGCAGCTCTGCAAGAGACACCGTGTGTGATGACGACGTGTCTAGATCCCGTGGCGCTCCGCCGCCGGTCGTGAGTAGGCGCGTGCTGAGTGCTGATGGCAGTCGCCGCGCTGCCGCGAGGGTGCGAATTGTGCTGAGCATTTCGGTAAGCCGTGCAGAATGCAAAAAAAACTCTGATTACTACGAGAAATAAACGTGATAAGCTAGCCGTAAAAATCGCCTTGTCACGCCACAGCCAAGGCGATCTGCGGGGTCCGAGGGGCAACGCACGTTTCACAGGCTCCGCGAAAGATGGTTCTGGTCTATGGATTTTAAAGAGAAAAAGTACAAAGAAAAAACGAATATGTGGTCTAATTGCAAAGAGAGAGAAGGAGAGGGGCCTCAGAGGCCCATGGTCTGGGTGACGAACAGACTAAGGCTGCTGCCGCTAAGCAGCACCGCCAGCAGAATCCTCGCCACCTTCTGCTGCTGCACCGCGCTCCAGCTGCCCGCCGCCGCAACCGCCGCCGTGCTTTCCACACGCTTGCTCTCCGGCGCCTTGGCGATCTCCCCGCCCACGCACTGCACTATCTTTGTGCTGCCTGCATCGCCTGCCTCTGCTCCACCTTTCCCAGTCTGCCCGATCGCTCCATCTTCGCTCTTGGGCTGCAGGTATTTCTCCGACGCCCGCGACAGAGCGCTCATCACGCTCGACGCATTCTGCACCACCATATGCAGCTCCTCCAGCTGCTGCCGCGCGCGCTCCCGCGCCTCGGCTGCCGTCCGCACCTCTGCCCGCTTCGCCACCGGCGACTCCAGCGGCTTCTGCCCCAGGATAAACTGCAGACGGTCCAGCGCCTGCGGCGCCTCCGGCATCGGGCCCTGGTGCCGGAACGCATACGGCTTCTTTGTGTGTTTGGCGCCATGCCGCCCAGCGGCGGAATCCCCGTGCCCCTGGGTGTGTGTGGGTGGCCAGCACGCTGGCGAACCGCCGGCCCTGGCGGCCTGGTGTGAGGCGGGGCAGGGAAAGGCTGTGCGAGTAAACTGCGACATTATTAGGCGTAGTAATGGGTATAGTAGTGTGTGTGGGTGCTTAGGTTGTGTGAAATGAAAAACAAAAGCGAGTCATAGAATGCTGGGAAGAGGACGGAGCCGGTCCTTTATAGGCAGCCTTTTCCACGCTATAGGCGGGACTGTAAGAAATATTTTTGGCTCATCACCCCACTGGAAGGAGAAAAGCCTGGGCGACAGGGGCTTTTGATTCGTCTACACGCCTATCATTGCCCGGCAAACAGAAATATCTTGGGGCATGATTTCTCTACATTTTTCATTCAGTGGTCATGCGCTTCCCGCAGTCAAAGGGAAGCCGCAAAAAAAAAATACCGAAACTCTCGGATTTGACAGCAAGCACAAACACAAAAGAAAAACGCGGAACTCTGCGTGCCTAATAGACAACAAACCGAGTCAACCTGGCCAGCCGGGGGGCGCTATCGGCAGGGTCCGTCGTCAAGCCTCCCCCACTTGTCCTGGCCGAGCCCGCGGTGCCGACTGGCCGAAGAAACCCTCTCTTTTTCTCCCTGCCAATGCTGGTCCACTCGCCGCCATACTCGTGGCCGGGATAGACAATGGTAGCGTCGGCGACAGCGCTCAGCCTGGTCTGCAGGCTCTCGACCATATCGGCCATCGACCCGCCCTTCAGATCGACCTGCCGCAGCTGCCCGGGAACAGCGTGTCGCCGCTAAACAGCCTGCACTCGTTGACCAGCAGGCACTGGCTGCCGGGCGTGTGGCCCGGGGTGTGCATGAATTTAACCTCGGTGCGCTGGCCAGCCGGAACGTGAAGCCGTTGGGCGTGGGCGTGAAGTGCTGCGGCTTGAGCTGCGGGTTCGACGCGGCCACCTCGGGCATGTCCAGCGGATGCACCAGCAGGGGGAGGTGCGGCAGCCGTCGCTTCAGCTCGCCAACGCCGGTGACGCGGATCCGCAGGGACGAGAAGGGCGCTGGCGGAATCCGCCTGTGTGGTCAAAAGTGCCCGTGCGTGATCGCTGCCGGCCGCCAGCAGCAGCTGCTCGCGCCTCAATCACTGCCAGAATCCCGTCGACGTCCCAGCACTAGCGCAGAAAGTGATGTAGCAGAAGTGGTGATCGGCGGGGGTTAGCTGGTTTTGTTTCTTGGTCACGTTCTTGGACTCTGAGTTGTTTTTTCCATTTGGGCAATGCGACCTTCGGGGCATGACCAGACGATCACTTTTTCTCTTCGGCATGTTTCAAGAGCACAGACCAGCGGCAAACCTCCACCTGTATCCAAGCACTGCGCCCTCGTGGACGAGCAAGCATGGGTGCCATGCACATGCCTGCTCTTTAATAAGCTCGTGCACATATTACTTACCGCATCAACCACTATGCACTTGCGCGTGTCGCTGTCCACCACCAGATATATGTAGTTTTGCATGCCCACGGCGAACTCGAAAATCTTGCTGCGTATCGGATGCAGCCCTTTCGGCTTCAGCGCAATGTCTCTGCCCGGCAGCAGCTGGATCACGCGCAGCCCCATCTCCTCGTTCCTGGCCATAATGCGCGCCCGCTCGCAGCTCACCCGCACATGCGGATCATTCGGCTCCATCGCCACCGCCTGCTTATAGAACCCGTAGGCGTCACGCACGCGCGCCAAGGCCAGCAATGCCTCGGCCTTGCGGAAATAGCCCTACGCAGCAAAAACCATTTTGTCCCAGTGTGCAGATGAGAAAAAGTTACGTCAACGCTCCCGCATGACCCCCCCCCGCTTACCTTTGCCCATTCCGGACGCATCGCAATAGACTTGTCGGCGTCGCTGATGGCCGCCGTGTATTTGCCTAGGGCGAATGCCGCCGCCGAGCGGTTGCTGTAGAGAAGCGCGCACACTTCGCTGCGCTCTTTCCTCGTCCTCCATAACCCACGGATCCGCCACCTCGCTGCTGACAGCTCTTCCGCCCTCCAAGATCTCCAGCGCCCTCTCGACATCGCTCTTGCGCCTGACTGCATCCTCAACCTGGCTCAACAGTGCCTGCGAGAACTCGTACCGGCCACAGCCCACGGCCGCCGGCAGCGGCTGGTCAATGACAGTCGGCTTGCTGCGGCGCGGGAGCTTCAGCCATGACCTTCTCACTGCTGTGTTGCCCGGCTGGCTGCTGATGGACGATCTGGGCGACATGCACGCCTCCTCGCATTTCCACCCGAGTCTGGCCAGCTGCTTGCGCGTGGGCTCCGATGCCAGCATCTCCCGGGCCGTGGTGCCTGCGCGCGGGCTCAGCAAAAGCAATGCCCAGGAGTACAGCTCGTGGGCGTTCTCGTGCTTGCCTTGCTCGAACGTCTCGTTGGCCAAAGCGCCGAACCGGTACACCGGGTGACGGGCCCGCCTGGCCCGCTCCACCACCGGAACCGATTTCTGCGACTGCGGCGACACCGAGTAGATGACCGGCTCGGGTGTCTGGCTCAGCACCTGCATCATGCTGAGCTGCTGCGTCACCGTGCCCATTGGCGGCACAGGGCTGTCATCAAGTGCCGGGTTTGCTGCCAGCTCGTTTATGGAGCTGGCCGGTGACTGTGCTGGCAAGGACGACAGGGCCGTGCGGAACGACAGGGCGTCGGACTGCGGCTCGTTCGGCGGGCTGAACCGGCCCAGCACAGGAAACTCCTCCGCCGCTTGTACCCTATCCCCCTGCTTGGCGTCGCCGGGCACAATCTCGACTGACAGCCGCTTGCTGGATGGCGACTTTGCTGGAGCATTGCTGCCGCCCAGGAACTCGTCGGTCAGACCGACCATTAGCTGCGCGATTGTTGCCGTGGAGGTGTTTGGTGTTTTCGTTGTTTGGTGTTCGCCCACGCCACTGTCGCTGCTTGCCGGTTCAATCAGCAGGTGGTTGTTTGTCGGCAGCGGGATGCACGGTTTGTTGTTTTGGTGAAATAGACGTAAAAAACGCCGGCGGCGAAAGCAGGTTTTCTGCAGATACGCTGCCGTCTAATAATAATAATAGTTTGCACAGGGAGAGAGAGAGAAAGAGAAAAAAGTCAGCACAAACGCTCCTGGGCTATTCTGCAGCAGCACCCAGACTCTAAATACAACGCCGACAAAAATAATCGAAACTGGACACCAGCGCAAAAGCCAGAATTGCAATTACGCTCTTTTTTCCTTTCCAAAAGAAAGCCAATTACAGCAGTAAGCGCCTCCCCCCGAGCTACTTTACCTTGTCTGGCCGCCACCGCCCGCTCGTAATTACTCCACATATCTGCAATATCCAGCCCGCATGTCGCGCAGTCCTGGTCGCTGCACTGGCACTCGATCCTAGCCCCCAGATCTGCCGGCCGCTCCGACGCCCTCCACGGCATGTCGTACCGGAGCTTCAAATGGAACATGGACGTCGGCCGAAGGCTCTTTGGCAGCCGGTAGTCGCGCCGCTGCTTCTGGCCCTCGGTCGAAAACGGCCGCCGCGAAAACGTCGTGCGCGAGATCGCCTCGCGGCTCATCTCGACCGAGCAGATCGAGTCCATTGAGCTGTTGCCGTGCATCGTGCCCATGTCGAGCGAGGCTATGCGATGCGTGCTTGACTGTGATGCTGCAGGGCTGGCATATATGTGATGCTGGCCATGTGTGGACATTAGCTGTTAATGGGCTATTATTACGAGGCGAGTGGAAAGAATGCGAGCAATAAAATTGATTAGAAAAACCGTGGTTAGCAAAAATAGTGGAGGCGAAAGAAGTTCCTGGTGCTGATCCGCACACGTCGTTCTTTCCGTATTGCACCCCAGGCTATGTTGCTTGTTATGACAACAAGCGACAAAATGGCCCATCCTTTTTCTCCTTCCAAAAACCGACATTTTGTACTTGTTCGGATCTACACGCTGGCACAAAGGAAAACCTGCTGGCCTGCTTTGCCAGTATCCACATACCCTGTGGCTTGGCTGCGCGATCCATATTGCCGAGCCGTGCTACCCTAAAACTTAAAAGATAATCTTGCAATGCTCGCCGACTGCATTCCCGGTTAACTCCCCGCGCTAGGAGGATTCTGGAAAGCGATGAGTGGTATCCCCCGCCAGACTTGCTCCTGTCTCTTGGGGGAAGGACATCACGCCACCTGCTGGAAATCACCGTTCTCCTTTCAGCGGGTTCTTTTTAGCTGTCAGACCACCTGGCGGATCGTCCTTTAAATGGCTCTTTCTTGCAAGCAGACTCTTGGCCGATGGGTGCGCGATAGTAGCAGAATCCCAAGGAACAACAGCCGTGCGATATAAATGCGGCTTGCTCCTCCCCGCAGCCTGCCATCTACCAGAATGATAGCATTCCCCCTTCATCTCCCGGCCATACATTTTCTGTTTTTACCCTGTTCATTTGTTCACTATCCTCCAGCCTGCACATAATATGAGCCTTTTGAACCAGACCCTGCGCAACATAGCTCCCCGGATCACCACCCACGGGCTGCGGTTCGCCAGCGTGCTTGCGCCTATGATGCGAAGCACCACCGCTACATCCGCCACAGAGAGCTTCCACACTGGGTATCCCGAGCTACTGGCAGACCCGATGACCCCGCAGGTCATGGACGAAATCCAGTACATCCTGAAAGACGCCGGAAGCAAAGAATACAAGCCCCCCAAAACCCCGGCCGAGGAAACCGAGGAGCTACTACGCGACCTGCAAAGCGCTGTCGAGGTCGCCACCGGCATGGTCGAGACATTGTCGCAGAGCACACAGCCCATTACACAGCCCATTACACAGCCCACAGAGGACTCCCAGAAGCTGCACGTGTCCCGGATCCTGTCAGTGCGGGACGAGCCCAGGGCCGGCGGAAAAACGATTGAGCTCGAGATCAGTCCGGCCGACCTACATCGGTTTTTGGGAACACAGGCTGTAGGTGTTTTGGGCAAGCACCGGCCGAGCATGCCTGCTGGATTAGGTAAGCAGGGGACTGCCGACAGGAGATTCGCCAGTGCGCGCGCCTTAGCATGCACAAACTGCCGGTTCGCGTCGTCCTGCTCGAGGGCCATTAGCTTCTCCGAGTCCTGGTCCATGGACCACCACTGCTTGGCCCGGAATGGCATGATGAGGGTGCGGGGCTCGCAGATTCTGGACCAGATCGATGACCGCAAGGCGCTGAGGTGGGCGATGGCCATTGCCGGGCTGCTCGGCCTGGGTACAGCTGTGGAGTGGGCAACCGGCCAGACTATGCACGAGCTTCGGAGCCTGCCGTGTCTGGGCGGGATCCCTACCACGACTATCAGCAACATAATGTTCTGTCTTTGAAAATGCGCCTGAGCGAATTGGCAGGCTGCTGTGATAAATAAAAGCCCCCTTCTGGTCTGCCGATGACGGCTGAGAGAAATGACGCTTGGGCCTTGTCCAGCTTCACGGGACGTTTTTCTTTTTTCAGGTGTGATCGCCAAGCTCCAGCCATTTTTCTAAACTCCTCCTTTTCTTCAACTCCTCGCATTTTTACATATTCCAGCCTATTTTCTTACTCCCAATGAAGGTCTTCCATTTGTCCGTTGTTCGCACCACACCGACGCCCAGCGTGCCACTCGCCACTGCCAGCGACCTGTCATCGTTCAGCTTCTTCCAGCGCGGAAGGTAAGAAACAATTGGGAGGCGAAATTCGAAGAGGCGGAGAGCCGCGAGATGCAGAAAGCACATTCCTAGCAACTAACAACCCCGGACATCTGCAAGCTTAGCATCCAGGAGTTCATGAACTTCTTCGCAACAACGGTGGCAGAGCGCACGCAGGACGGGCAGCGGCAGGGCGTGGACCAGGACAACTACGTGGCATACGTGTACCGGCAACCAGGCGGGCTGTCGAGCGTGGCGGTGACGGACAAGGAGTACCCGGCGCGCGTGGCACTGTCGCTGGTGGCCAAGATCCTGGACGAGTTCACGAAGGAATTCAATGCGGAGCGGATCGCGAGCGCCGACAAGATTGCGTTCCCGGCGCTGGACGATTACGTCCGCAAGTACCAGGACCCGAAGCAGGCGGACAATATCATGCGGGTGCAGCAGGAGCTGGACGAGACGAAGGTGGTGCTGCACAAGACAATCGAGGGGATTCTGGAGCGCGGCGAGAAGCTCGAGTCCCTGGTTGACCGGTCGAACCAGCTGTCGGACCAGTCGAAGATGTTCTACAAGACGGCCAAGAAGACTAATGCGTGCTGTATCGTCATGTAACAAGAAAGAAGAACAGACTCTTCGTTTGCCTGTTTTGGAACTAAATTTTTCTTTTCGGTCCATGACGCGGCAGCGTGCTCACATGAGGAAAGCGCCGGCTGGTGGTGAGCTTTTTTTAAACATCCGTGCGCTTGCCACGCAGCATCAGTGGCAAAGAAGCGGCCGTGCTGCAAGAACAAGGAAGAGGCGAGGCTACAAAGCTCGTTTCTCACAGCGGGTTGCACAGGACGGAACCAGGCTGGGATTCGTAAAAGCGCTGCGAGCTACAGCCGCGAAAAAAGGCTTTGATTCTACAGTGACATGGATTTGCCTGTTCGCTGTTTCCTGGTGAATTATTTTTCTTCTACGCTTTCTCTTTCTTTTTCCAAACTATTCAAATTCCTACTTTTCTCTTTTTTGGAAAGGCCATTCTGGCTTAAAGCTTTCATTCGGTAGACTCAGAGCTCCCCCGACAACAGCCTATCCGAAGCCAGATAGGCGGCATATACACATACGCACCCTTTGCTGTCCCCTACAGAGGCTCCTTTTTGTTCGGTTCCAACGGGGGAGAGTTCAGTGAGCGTCTTATTACTCAACAGGGAGAGAGGGCTGGTACGTGCTGTGTAGGAAAAAAAGCAGTTCGTTATACGCTTTAGAGTATTCCCTGTTATCGACTGATAGCAGGAGAATACTGTAGTCCTTTTTTTTCTTCTAATGGAGGATTCGGGTGACGGACCGAGGCAGAAGGAGGAAACAACAACAACAACAGAAGCAGCAGCAGCGCGGACCGAGGGCGAAGAGGCGTTGGGGCAACAACCGTCGCTGTTGACAACACTGGGCGGGTTCTTTCAGCGCACGACAGACACCGACGCCGAGCGGATGGCAGATGCAGCAGCACAGGATGCCGGGTGGCAGATTCCGTGGCCACGCCTACAAATGATGTCGCAGTCGCCTGATCTCGTGGCCACGCCCGCGACAACAAGCGAGGAGCCAGGCAGGCAACCAGCCCGGACAGTGTCGAGTCAGGCAAGGAAGAGCGCCTGGACGCAGCTGCAGAAGCTCGTGTCTGAAGTAACCGAGGTGTTTGGCGGCTACTCGTCAAGGGCGGACGGCGAGAAGAGCGAGGATTCCGGAATGCTGGCAGAGCACAGGAGGGCGAACGTGGGCGACCTGATGCTGGACGACGAGGAGCAGTTTCATGGAATGGACGAGATCCGGGCTGCTTCAGTTCACGGGTTTGCGCCGTCGTTTGTCGGCGGCAGTGCTACTACAGCAGCCAGCAGTAACCGCCGGCTGAGCGAGACCGCGGGCCAGCAGGGCGGCATGCACCTTGCAGTGATTGGGTTTGCACGGAGCCACCCGCTGATGGCGCTGGTGCTGGCGTGGCTGGCGATGGTGTTTACCGACTGGTTCTTGACCAGCGCTGCGGTGCCCAAGCTGGTGTCGTGGGTGACGGCGCGGCCGTGGTCGCCGTTCTCCGAGTCGTTTGTATTGCGGGCTTCCGTGATGCTTCCGGAGCTGGTGGATGATGACAGCAGTCTGCGCATGCTCCTGCGACGGCGAATACTGAGCAGCGAGCTGTGGATCGATGATTTTGTGTGGCGCATGCAAATGTACGTATCTGGCACATTGGTGCCGATGACGCGACCGTATGCCGTGCAATGGCTGTTCTTTGGGCTGTTCTCGCTCAAGGTCCTGAAGCGGTGCTCGGCAGCTGGCTACCGTGCGGTTCTGGTGTACGCGGGGTTCTTTGTCATGTCGGATATGGTGCTGTGGCGCTTGCTAGGCCCCGGATCGGTTGGCAGCAGCCAGTATTTTGCTGAGCAGCATCTGGCAGCGTATACAGCGCCCTCGTATGAGTGTCGGGATGACGTGTGTCGAGTGGCTACTGGGATTACAACACCACCGCCATTGATGGTCCCAACGCTCTCTATAGACCACCAGGCCGACACGCTTATTTGCTCCGGCTCATGGGATAGGTTTGGACTATGCTCAACCACCGGTGCCACTGACGCAGGCCCTGGCAAACTCGATGCAGAGTCAGTGGATACAGCCCAAGAAAGTGCTGATAGTGGATTGCCGCGTAACATCCGGTCACCGTTTGCCAATGCAGTGGAGGAGGCCTTGGAACGCAAGCGGGCGATGGTAATGCGGCGTAGCGAGCGGATGCAGCGACTGCATGAATGGAAAATGACCATGCTCTCTGGCAATGACGACGACGACGACGACGACACTGGAGAGATTTCGCAGGCACGCAAAGGCTCACGGCTGCTGCCGGTGCTGGCAACGCTCTCCGTGTATGTGGTGCTAGTGTGGCAGGCACGCGGGCTGTCGTGGCAGGCAGTGCAGTTAGTGGCGATCCTCCTGATGCTTGACATGGCTCTGCGCAACGGCCACAGCTCGCTGGGCGGCTGCGCAGGCGCCTGCACCAAGCCGATTCGCGACAGCAGCTCCTACATGGTGGACAGCGTGGGCGCCATCAGCAAATGCAGCATATGGACAAAGGCGTTCTGGAACGCCGAGCAGCAGGCGACATTAGCGGTGCTTACTT